CCCCGGACTCAGGCTCTAGCCGAGTTGTGGGTTGTTTGTTATTGTTGTTCTCGGCTCCTCCCAGGGCCCCAGGCAGGGGCGGGGACGGGTGCAGGAGGTGCGGGAGGACGGCCGTCGGGGCCTCTGGCTCCTCTCCGCTCCCAGCCTTATCACCCACCCACCCGCCAAGCCCCTGGCCCGACTTCTTGGCCACAAACCAACCCCATTCCTTTGCCCGACCCCCAGGCGTCTGGGATTCCCGGCTGGCTTCTCCCCAGCAGCCAAGCCGGTCTTGGGTCTTGCTTCCGCCCTTTGAAGTCTTCGTAGACCTAATTAGTCTAGGTGTAATTGGCATAATCAGGCAAATTGCCTTTCCTCTCTCCCCCTCTCCACCATATTGGCCTCGTCCAGCCATCTGCACTGGACAGTGAAGTGGAGGGGATAGAGATCCCAGTGCTTGGAGAGGGGAGCATCCAGCGCCCTCTCCTGGCTCCCATGGGACGCAGCGGATCTTTTGGGCCTCTTAGGACACGTCCAAATCCAGCTGCCTCCCTGGCCAGGGTAGAGAGACACAAAGCAAAGGGCCCAATAAACGCCACCGGGCTTTTATGGCAAGAGTGGATGCAGCTTTATTGTAAGGCTTTTATATACCAACTCTTAGCCCAAGGGCTCTGGGAGTGTGTTTGGTCTGTGTGATGGGAAGTGGGGAGGACGGAGCTTTGACTGGGATACACTCAGGAAGGTGGATGAGGATGGGGTCACTTAAAGAGACAGAATGGAGTTGGGGAGGCAGCAGAGGAAAGTAAAGATTCTGGGGGCAAAAAACAGGCATGGATGAGGATGGAGAAGGGGAACTGAGAACTCTTGGGCAATGGAGTGGGAAGAAGAGGACAATGGGGGTAGAGTAAGGAGGATGAAGAAAAAGTGGTGCTGGAGTGAGAGGAAGGGTCATGAGAAGCGAAGAGGGGAAATGAGAGGGAAAAGGAGCACAGGGGATAAAGAGGTGGGATCACTCCGAGAGGTGGGCAGGGGCATCACCAACTCAGACAGAGCTTACCTGAGGAGGAAGGAGAGGGCACCCCACAGTATAAAGCCCAGAGTTCACATCCATGTTTTCTTCTGCCCATACCAGGATATGAGGAAGACATGGAGACGGTAAGTTCCACTTTTACTGTTCCTTCTACCAGCTGCCATAGCCATCACCTTCCCACTGGGCCCACATCTTTGTGCCCATTCACAGGCAGGTTTTCTGAGGTATGGCCTCATCCCTTCCTGCTGCAGAGATGTGAGTGGGGTAGTGGTGGGTGCATTTAGCATCAGAGGGCAGAGGGGTATTTACTGATTTCTTGACCCTTCCCCCTCATCTGTCCAGATTTGATGTCCCAACACCCAAGTCGTCTAACTCAGAGGACGATCTCCCTGAAGAATACCCAGTGGTCAAAAACATGCTTCATAGACTGACAGGTAAAGAGGGAAGAAGGGAGAGAACTGAATGAGATTCTGTGTTAGGTTTACTCCCTTTTAGCTCTCAAAAATGACCAAGTCCTTTTTGATGTCTATATTAGTTTCCTAGGACTGCTGTTACAAAGTAGGTAGCTTAAACAACAGACATTTACTATCTTGCAGTTCTGGAGATAGAAGCCCAGAATCAGGGTGTTAGCAGGGTCCGTTCCTTCTGAGTGCTGAGGGAGAATCTGTACCATGCCTCCTTCCCAGATTCTGGTAGCCTCAGATGTTCCTTGGTTTATAGATGACCTTCACGTTGTCTTCCTTCTGTAGGCATTTGTCTCTGTCTCCAAATTTCCCCATTTAATAAGGCAGCAGTCATATTGGATTAGGGCCCACTCTTATTACCTCATTTTAACTTGATTACTTCTGTAAAGATCCTATTTCCAAATAAGGTCACATTCTGTGGCACTGAGAGACTTCAACACATCTTCTTTTGTGGGGGGACACAACTCGACTCATAACAATGTCTATCCTAATATTCCAGCCAATTTCCCTCTTCCTTTTTCATGCACTCAAACAACAGACCCCTGGATGTCAGCTGCCTTTCAGGAATCTCTGCTCCTACCACCTCTCATCACTCCTGTACAGAAGGGTCCCAGGACTCCAACATCTCCTTGCCTCTTCCTTCCTTGCTCACTCCCAAGGCTGCCCTCTACCTTTCTTTAAACTGTCTAGGAAAGATGTTCCACCCTCTTGGTCACTCACCATCCACCCAATTCAGATTGCTTCTAGCACCCCTAATCCAGAAATATTTCCTCAAAGCACCTCATACCTACAAGGCCAATGGCTCTTTCTTTCTTGTCTCTGTATGTTACCATCTTCTCTCTGCTCCTCTGCCTCATATCCCCACAGAGATAGGCCTGTCCACCCCCACATATTCCTGTGGGTGGGTGGGTTGGTTTCTCAGAATACCTTGGATTCCTCCCTTTGCCCCTCCCCGCTGTCACCTGGGGTTCCCTATTAGGTATCAGTCTTTCTCTTTAGATCCACCTTCCCCACTCTGCTGACTCAGCTCCCATGCCCCACCCCAGATGCTGCAGATCAAGATATTAATCCTNGCCCGCGCGGGGAGACGCCGAGGGGGCCGTATCCCCACCATGGGCTGCCTGGACCCGCACGGAGAGGTGAGGCTGGGGTGCGCTTCACGGGACCCGAGCTGTTGGTGGAGGCTCATGGGTTCCCTCGGGAATGGTACCTCCAGAGCCAGCCCCCTTATGGAAGTTTGGGCAAGGGATGGAGTGGGGGAGAGAAAAGCAAAGGATGAGGGGGCGAGGGCTGACCCTGGGTCCTCAGGATGAGAGGTGCCAGAAAGGATGACAGGAAGGAGTTGACACTTGGTCCAGAGGGGAGGAAGCTGGGCGGATGCCTGAGTCTTGTGAGAGGAGCTGGAGAGAAGAGGTTGGGGAAGCCGAGAAGTGGTTGGGCTACTTAGAAGGCGGAGACCCTTGGGGACCCGCGAAGAGCGCGGGAACTGCGGGAGCGGGGGCCGGGCAGCCGACGAGGTGCCCAGGAGGCGGCGAGCTGGCGGAGGGGAGGGAGCTGACGGGCGGAAGGGAGAGCTGACTGGGGTGAGGGCGAGCAGGGGGCCAGGGAACTCGGTGCAAGCGGTCAGAACTAGCGTAGGAGAGGGCGAGCAGGCGGCTGGGCAACGGTAGAGAAAAAGCTGGAGTGGAAGGCGGGGAAGGAGGTGGGGGAGCAAAGGATGGAGGAAGGGAGCAGATCCAAACGCCGCTGTCGTGGGGCTGGCCCCCCATTCCTCCCTAGAAGACTGATCATCCTCACTCACTCTTCCTCCTTCAGCCCCATGAAACAGACAACCTCCCCTCTTTCTTTCTTTCTTTCTTTTTTTTTTTTTTTGTGGCGGCTGGCTGTGACTGGGATCCAAACCCTTGATCTTGGTGTTATCAGCACCACACTCTAACCAACTGAGCTAACCGGCCAGCCCAACCTCTCCTTTGACCCCTGCACTGTGCCCCCTGCCTAGTGTCAGCATGGTCCTTCCTCAACTCCTATCCTACAGAAGTGGCGCCCCAGTGCACAGGTCCGGGCTTGCCCAGACCTGCTTTTCATATGCCTTTGTCCTTTTCGGTCCTGAAGCCGCCTTTTGAACTGTGGTGGGATCTCTAGCACTCTTAGACTCTAACTTGTCCTCCGGTGCCTACTCACCCTACCGGGCCTCTGATTCAAAATCTCTCTCATGGGGCTGGCCGGTTTGCTCACTCGGTTGGAACGTGGTCCTGATAACACCAAGGTCCAGGGTTCGGACCCCCTTACCGGCCAACCACCAGACAAACAAAAAACCAAAATACTTCTCACGGGGCCCTCTACCTGCTTCCCCTTTCCAGCCGACCTGACCCTGGACCCTGGCACCGCACACCGCCGCCTGCTTATCTCCGCCGACCACCGCAGCGTCAGACTGGCCCCACCAGGGACACCCGTGCCCCCTGACGGCCCCAAGCGCTTTGATCAGCTCCCGGCGGTACTGGGCGCACAAGGCTTCGGGGCTGGCCGCCACTGCTGGGAGGTGGAGACCGCTGATGCCGCCTCCTGCAGAGACTCTTCTGGGGAAGAGGAGAACGACGGGGAGAGCCGCTATGCCGTGGGTGCAGCCGGGGAGTCGGTGCAGCGCAAGGGCCGCGTAAGGCTGTGCCCCGCGGGGGCTGTGTGGGCCCTGGAGGGCCGCGGAGGCCGCCTGTGGGCCCTCACAGCACCCGAGCCTACCCTGCTGGGCGGCGCCGGGCCCACGCCGCGGCGCATTCGAGTGGACTTGGACTGGGAGCGGGGCCGCGTGGCCTTCTACGACGGCCGCTCGCTGGACCTGCTCTACGCCTTCCAGGCGCCCGGCCCCCTGGGAGAGCGCATCTTCCCGCTGCTGTGCACCCGCGACCCCAGCACCCCGCTCCGCATCGTGCCGGCGGAAGGTTGAGTCTTGTCCCAGCACCAGTACTAGGTTGGCAGGCCGCCAAGAAGCTGCTTCCCCTTGGGCACGGATATCCCCATTCATTGCAAGGATCATGTCCACGCGCCCACTGCAGGAGTATTGATAAGACCCACCCCAACATTCTCTCTCTTCCCACCAGATAACAAGACCTCAACTGGCCCCAGCTTTCCACATCCATGCCCACTCCCTCTCAGGAATCTTTCTCCCCCACCACTACCAAACCGATTTTCCCCCTTCTGTATTATTCCAGGCTTGAATTGGGAATAAGCCTGCTCCGTCAATATTGGTAAACTAAGACCTCAACTGGCCCCAGCTTTCCACATCCATGCCCACTCCCTCTCAGGAATCTTTCTCCCCCACCACTACCGAACCGATTTTTCCCCTTCTGTATTATTCCAGGCTTGAATTGGGAATAAGCCTGCTCCGTCAATATTGGTAAACCGCCCATGTTTACTACACACAGACCCTGCTAGTCAAATATTTACCTCCCACTCTTAACTCTCTCTCCTGGCTCCAAAGAAGGGGTCAGGGCCTTCTCCACAGCTCTAAGGCTTGGGCTTCTTTGTCCTGTCCACTCTGAGGTTTCTCTTCAAGAAAAACAATAGCCTTGTCCTAAAATAAGAGGCTTGACTCTGGCCTGGACCCCAGAGTCCTCTAGGAAGCTTGATACCATTTTTATTTTGGGAAGGGGGTGTGACAAGCCAGTTTTACTTCCTGTGACTGCTTTCTATGCTCACAGCCTTTTTCTATTAAGAACCTTCTCAAAACTTACCCCTGCACATACCCACAGAAAGAAACCAATGGTGCTACCTCTCCTCTCCACAACCTGGGAAGGGCCCAGACATCCCAAAATGAATCCTTGTACACAGTCTCACATCTTACCCCATATGTATAAATGGGCCCATATTTAACACATTTTGTGATGTTGGGTTATTTATTTTGTGCATCTGTGGCAATAAATGAGATCTCAGTGGTGGTATGGATTTGACTGATCTCTGCAACTGTGCATGGCAAGACTGGAAAAAGATAACCAGACCCCAGTAAGGGTTAAGGAGGGCTGAGAGCTGGACATCTGGGATGGCAGAGACATTACTGTCTAGGAAGGAAGGGGTGTGCATGTAGTGCAGGGGACACACCCTCTTCTCTTTGCTCCCTCCCTTTTCCTTCCTCTCCCAAGGAACCAAGACCCTGGGACTATGTTGGCTCTGTCTCTGAAACGGAAAGGCCAAAAGCTGAGGAGATAGTTGGCTCTAAGTGACCAGTCTCATGCTAGTTTTGTTAGAAATCGTAGATCACATGAGAAGGGTGGGTAGAGAGAACATGACTATTTCTTGTTCCTTTTCCATTAGAGATGAGAATGACAAAGACTTCTCTCTCCTAATTCCTTTTGAGGGCATGAGGGGGATGGGCAGGAAGGGAAGGACTGGGAGCCCTGAGGCCTCCTATAAAACCTCATATCCCACAGACAAGGAAGAATTAGGATTATATAAATACATTAGTAGAAGAGCTCTAAACCAGGATTAACAAGCACAGCTGGGGCAAGATTGCCTGGAATCTGACTGGGACCCTGGCAGTGAAAGCTGGGACAGTTGAAAACCCCATTTAAGTGTTTGGGACTAAAGTTGAAAGTGCAGGAAGCCAAGATAACTGGATCCCAGGACAGGCAGTTTGGCAGTGAAAACAAAGGGAAGAAACTGGGACCAATATGCCTGGATCCCTGGAGAGAGGAGGGTGGGTACTGGAAGGAGAAATGAGGGCCAGGGAAACCCAGAAGCCTGAGTTCTGGAATAGCAGCAAGTCAAAATTCCAGGATCTCTGTCTGCCTTCCTCTTCCTCTCCCCTCTATCAGGCAGAGGAGAGAAGGGGGCTGAAGAAGGGATCAAACCATGGGGTTAGTCCCCAAGTAGCCACAAAGACACATTCAGGGCCAGACAGACACAGGAATGGTGTGGAAGAGAGGAATTTAGTGCTGCATTGGCCCTGGAGGGGGCTGGGAGGGATCAGGAGGCTGGGGAGGGGTGGTGGGGATGGGTCCTGGGGTTGCATGACTCCGTCCTTTGCGGTGGCCCCGTACACAGTGTGTATGACCACAGCCCTCCTCTTCCTCTTCATCACTCTCCGTGGAGCTCTCGCCAAAGGCCCGAGGTTTCTCATAAATACAGCAGCCTGGATTTGGAAGGAAGAGCCCAGTTTAAAAGGAAGAAGAGTAAGATACAGTCAGTTCCATTCTTATAGGATTTTAGTGAAAATTCCTGTTTCCACCATTGTCTCCTCCTAATTTCCAGGATCCAGCTTCCCCAGGCCCACCCCCCCGGGACTCAGTCACCCAACCCCCTTGTCCTTTTACACAGCCAAGAATCCAAAGCCCCACTTCTCCCACTTCTGGTACCTCTTGCCATCAGACCTTGGCACATCCCAGTTCTAGCCTCTCTGTACCTCCTTCCCTCTAACCTTAGCCTCTTTTCCCTGATACCAGAGAACCACCAAGTAAGTGACAGGATTGTGAGCATCTGGAGACTTCTGGGAAGCCAGTGGATGTGAGAAGGTAGAAGACATGCAGAAGGGAGCCAGAATGCCAAGGGTACTGTGGGCCAACAATTACTCACATTTTGATGAGCGTCGCCCCATGTGTTCGTTGTCCACAGTGTCACTCGTCCATTCCACCTTTTTCTCTGGCTTCCGTTTCCGAAGTTTGATGGTTAGGCTCCGATTCTCCTAGAAGGTTAAGAGGGATGGGCGTACTTATCTAGTCCCCATCCTACTGACCTTTCTTATTCCCTCCCTGAGGACTCCCTTTCTTCTCTTCCCCAGCTCAATCAGTATCACAGATACAGCACCAGAGGGTCTGGGAGATGATAAATAGAACAGGTTGTTGACCTTAGTGAGTCTCTTGAAGAGTAAGTATTTTTTCCTGTTCTTGATAATGCTAGTGCGTAGAGAAGACATAATTCCTAACCTAGGGAATGTCCCAGCAAATCTTCAAAGGAAAACATAATTCTCACCGTTTCTGTCTTCCTCCCCAGATCATTTTTGAATACATTAATACATAAAAATTATTTTCTCAGTCCCTAGTGCCTTTGGTGTGTCTTTTCCATAACCCCTATTCTTTTTCCCATTGAAGAAAGACCTCCATTCTTACCTCTCTGATCCTCAGGTACAGCCTTCCCTACCTATACGGAATCCACCCTAGCATGCTGGCATCTCTAGTAACCACTATTACTAAATTAATAACTAAACTCCCTTAATCCAGAGATTATTAAGCTCAATGCAACTTTCTCCCTTTGAAAGCAACTTAACCTGTTTTTATAAAAATGCTATTTGTTTCTCCACTTACATCTCTCTCTGATTCCTCAAACTACTATCTTTGTCTCCGTTTCTTGTTTCTTCATTCCCCCCACTTCCTTTTACATTCATCTACTCAACAAATATTTATAGATAAGTATGCTTCCAGTAAAATTTCCTTACAGCTGGCCTCCAACCATGCTTTCTTACAGGCTTTTCATTTCCTCCCAGCGCCTTTCTTGCTCCTTAATCCCCAACTTCCCATTCTTTCATTACTTATGCACATCACGAACCCAAGCAGCAACACATATATCGTAACTGTAACCCCCTATTACATGTCCCTTGACCAACCTCCTGCACCATCTCTGCACTGCCAATATCGCCAATACCCTGCAATTCTCAATCCCTGATATTCAACCCCACATCTTCCTTATCCCCAGGCTCAGCCCCTCCAGCGACTCTCCAAAGCCCTGTCCCCTCCCTCCCGTTATCTCCCAGACCCCTCCACAGTACCGCCCCCCGCCTTTCTCACGGGCTCGGTTGTCACGGTAACCGTTGTCTCAGTGACGGTCTCGCTCAGCCCAGCCCCTGCCTCGGCCATGGCTAAGGCTGAGGAGAGGGAGGACGGGAGGGAGAGGGATGAGACACCCTTCCCTTTTTCTGGATCTCTGAGTTCTAAGAGAATCCGTGTCGGATTCAGAGTAGTAACAAGGATCCTCCGCCTTCTTTCTTCCCCCTCCTCCTGGGCCTCCGCTTCCCCACCCCTGGGGATAGCCTGTCCAACCCCACTTCCGGCTCTCCGCTTCCGGGTATGACGCATCTGCAGTCCCTCTTTTCCCTTCCCCGCACCAAATGCGTCAAAGCGCAGGCGTCGCCGGATTAGTTCCGCCGTAAGGTTACAGTGCGCAGGCGCCGCAAGAAGGAGAAACAAATTTAGCGGAAGAGGCGTCACTGCGTGTGTGGGAGGAGGGGGCGCGGTCAAGGGCGGCACGCGCACTCACAGGCTGGGGAAGGCTGGAGGGGGCGCTAGTCTGTCCTAGCTGCGGACTGTGGGCAGTGAGGGAGGAGCGGGGCCAAACTAGGCGCCAAGTTGAGACGTCCTGTAGCTGAGTCCGTCCCTCTCTCCATCTTTAAACCTTAAGGTGGGTGGCAGAGTGGGGAAACTTAGAGGCAATAGTAATGACCCTGTCTTCCCTATTTCAGTTTCCTTATTGTTCCGTCGGGGCGTCTCTCATAAGAAACTGGACCTGCGAGCAGTTGGAAACACATTTGATTAAGACTCAAGCAGTCTGGGTTCCGGTCCTCGCCATGTGCCTGTAGTGTTCGAGCAGGGCTCTTGATGCACCTTCAGCGTGGATATTTCCAGTCACTGTGCTAGGCCTTGAAGATGGAGGTGCATAGTACACTCAGACCGTGCCTGTTAGCTCCCTGTCTAGTGGGAAAGACAGGCATGCTCAGAACTAACAAAAATATAAGACATTGGGGCATTAAAATAGTAATAAATCTGATCTGTGAAGTTGAGTTACATACTGCCAACATCATTTTTCTGGGGTGGAGATGAGTAGGATTAAGCAGAGAAACAGTTATAAATAACAATATAGGCCATTTTATAAAAATAGGTACACGTTTCTCAGGGAGCAAAAGAAAGTGGTAAAACAAGAATTTAGAAAGCAGACAGATTTTTTTTTTCTCGATAGAGAGCAGCTTACATAGTCGTGTGCACTAAAGGAAATGCAGTTTTGTATTACTAGAATGTAAAGGGAACGCCAGATGAGGCTTGACAGGTAGGCAGAGGTTATTTGAAAGGCCCCCCTCGATAGAGAGCAGCTTACATAGTCGTGTGCACTAAAGGAAATGCAGTTTTGTATTACTGGAATGTAAAGGGAACGCCAGATGAGGCTTGACAGGTAGGCAGAGGTTATTTGAAAGGCCCCCATATGCTTTGCTAAGAAACTTGGACTTTATCCACCACTCCAGGTTTTGGGAGTGTGTCAAGAAAGTCAACTGCCAGAACAGTTCAAATGTACAGTGGGGAAGACTGCCCTGCCCATCTCTCCAAGCTGCTGTGGGGGCCAAACAAAATAGTGTATGTTTGAGAGTTCTGAGTATATAAAGGTCCACACAATTATAAGATAATCACTATTACTCTCACCCCATGATCACCATTTAAGCCAAAGAATGCAGGAATACTGATTCCCAGAATCAAAATTTGAAAATGTTTTGTACTGTGCCTGGACTATGTATTTGTTCCCCTTGAAAATTTGTGGTTCAAACTGAAAAAACACAAGATAGAAGTCAGCTTGTATAGTATAGTCCACTTAAAAAACAATGTGTGTGTACTTATACACACACAAGCACAGATACATAATTTGGTTATCTCTTTAGAGGGGGATTCCTTGTGACTTTCACTTCTTTCTTCCTACCTTTTTTATATAAAAATCTGGCTGGCCGGTTAGCTCAGTTGGTTAGGAATCAGTCTTACAGAGGGCTGGCCCGAGGCTCACTGGGAGAGTGTGGTGCTGGTAATACCAAGGCCACGGGTTTGGATCTCATATAGGGGTGGCCGGTCATAGCACACTGGGTGAGCATGGTGCTGACAACACCAGGTCAAGGGTTAAGATCCCCTTACCCGTCATCTTAAAAAAAAAAAAAAATCAGTCTTGTAACACCAAGGTCACAGGTTTGGATCTCTGTACTGGCCAAAAAAAAAAATCTGTTACGAGGAATATATATTTACTTCAAAAGCAATAGTTTTCCAAGATGTCCATCTATAGTACGTACATACTAGTATCCCTCAATATCAGATTTTTTGTTATCCAAATTTATATACCAAATAGATATGGTTAAATTTTCTGTTGAATCTCTCACTACCTGAACTCCCAGTTTTGGTTTTCCTAAACCCAGGAACTGAATAGGTTTAGATAGTGAGAGAATACTTACAATTGCTTTTTGTATTAGCCTCATTCCTGGCTTCCTTTTTTCGTCCTTGTTTTTTTTTTCCTTTTTCATACAAATATTTACCAGTAAACTCATTTAAATTCCTTTTGGAACCAGACAGATTATAAATAACATATATGTTGGGGTCTTATAGAAAAATATAACTTTAATAAAGAAACTCAACCAGGGGTAGGAGTACTCTGGGGACAATGATAATCCCCACATGATTATCTGATTCTTCTCTGGGAGCAAAACATTGCAACCAGAGGAGATGGACAAGATATCTAAGAACACAATATCCTTCACTTTCCAAGAAGAGGAGGGAGGAATTCTTGAGTCGCCCCAGAAAAAAGGATTAGGAGTCCTCTTTCTCCTGGAACCTATGGAGAAAAAAAAGACGTTATATTTGACCAAAGGAACAGTTTCTAGCAGTGTAAGATGAGGTACTGAATTAAATAATCAAGGAAGGACTTTTATTCATGACGGTGTGAAGGACTAGCTCTCCTAAACAATCCTTGAATTCCACCTTCAGGACCACTAAAAATGCTGGCATTAAAAATATATCTTTTCTGGGCCGGCCCCGTGGCTCAGTTGGGACAGTGCAGCGCTGGTAGTGCTGAGGCTGCGGGTTCGGATCCTATATGGGGATGGCCGATGCGCTCACTGGCTGAGCATGGTGCAGACAGCACCAAGCCAAGGGTTACGATCCCCTTACACACACGGTCAAAAAAAAAAAAGAAAAAATGTGTCTAATGAATTATGACCTTGAAGTATGCAAAGGTTTCTTAGAACAAAAAGCAGTAACTGGATCTCATAAAAATTAAAACCTACTCATAAAAAAAAGTTAAAAAAATAAATAGGCAAACCACAGATGGGAAAAAAATTATCAAAAGATATATCTGATTACAAAAATATTTTTAATCCATTGATGAGATGGCAAGAAAGTAAAGGCAATTGTCAAAGTGATTAAAGATGATGTGAAACCAGAAACCCAGACAAGTAAATTAAAACTGAAGTCCCTACTACCATGGTGCTCTTAATACTGTTTCGACAGCCACAGGCAGCATAAGGAACTGGAAACAAAAACCTATATCTGATAGGAGATCCCTTGCATAAAATTGGGACCCCCCAAAGGGCTATCCTGTGTGCAAATGAACAGAAAAAAATATCCAATTCTGTAGAAGGGGAATTTGACTGTCTTAGTAGGTAGTGGGAGAGATAAATCTCCCCTGAGAATTTCTAACCATAAGCTGGCCATAACTTACATGGATTTGTGGCTCAAATTCATATTACCTGTGTGCTCCAAAAAACCTGAAGCCAAGAATTTATTTAACGTGATTCCAACAAAGAAAATGAACACCCCCCCCCCAAAAAAAAAAAAACCAAGCTAACAAACAAAATAAAGTGATTCCAGCTTGGTAGTGCCTTAAGGCACCTGAAAAAGAAACACGGATGCTGAGAATAAAGCACTCATCCCAGGCCTCAAAGAATTACCATAGTTCAAGTTTTAAAAAACCTGGGCTTTACAGTCAAAAATCACAAAACGAAAGAAACACCATGAGAGAGCCATCAGAAATAACAGACAGTTGGGGCTGGCCAGTTAGCTCAGTTGGTTAGAGAGCGGTGTTGATAACACCAAGGTCAAGATTCAATGCCCATACTGGCCAGCTGCCAAAAAACAAACAAAAGAAATAACAGTAGCATCAGACCCGGAAAAACTGTGCATATCAGAATTATCAAACACAGAATATAAATAACGGTGTTTAATATATTTAATATACACTTAAAGAATAAAAGGAGCAATTTAAAATATGATTAAGGAACTGAGATTTATTAAAAATGACTGAGAAGATTTGAAAAGTAATCAAATAGAGCTTAAAAATAATAATAAAAGTAATGGGCCAACCAGTTACCTCAGTTAGAGCGTGGTATTGTTACACCAAGGTCAAGGGTTTGGATCCCCATACTGGCCAACCACCACACACACAAAAAATAATGATGATAATAATAATAATAATTGAAATAAACTGAAGACAGAATTAGTGACCTGGTCTAAGACAGACCTGAATAAATTACCCAGAAGGCAGCATAAAGAGAAAAAAGATAGAAAATGTGAGTAAAGACATTTTCTTTAGAAAGACAGGGTGAGAGAAATGGAGGATAGAAGAGAAGGTCTAATAAACTAATTAGAAATTCAGAATGTGAGAATTGAGAACATGGGAGAAAGGTAATATCAGATGAGATAATGGCTGACAATTTTTCAAGGTTGATAAAAAAAAAATATATCAATTCTAAGTTTCAGAAAGTCCAACAAATCCCAAATAGGATAAATTTTTAAAAGCCACACCTTGCTATATTGTAGTGGAACTGTAAAACACCAAAGACCAAGAGGAGTTCTTAAAACCATTCAGAGAGCCATTTTCTTTAAATCATACATGATTAATTCTTACCAAAGTAAAACTATCTTGACTACAGTTGAAGACTCCAGCATAATATGCTGACCACTAGGCAATACTTGCTTTCTGTGTTTTTTCATTTCCTTTAAAAAGGTTTAGTTTACTGGCTATAAAAATGGCAAGAAAATTTTCTTATTTTGGGCGGGGGGAGGGCCGCTGCTGGCTGGTATGGGAATCCGAACCCTTGACCTTGTTTTACAACACGGCATTCTAACCAACTGAACTAACCGGCCAGCCCAGAAAAACGTAATTTTAAAAAATTAAAAAGACCACAAAACTCCCTATTACTAGAACTGCACAGAAATGTGGGATGGAAACAATTTAGTACAAAAAGTTATTGGATTTTTTAGACAGCAAATAGACTGAGAAAGGGCAGAGGGAAGAGAAAGGATACCCACTTGCAGTTGGTACAGGTGTAGAAGACAGTTTGCCCTTCATCGGCTGAACGCATCTGTCTGGTGTGGTATGCCATTCTCTCATGACCACATCGAGAGCAGCGCCTGTCAATCTGGGAAGAAACTGGTGGATTAGGGAGGCCTAGTCATACCCCGTTTCGAACAGGAATCTGTCCGTCACACCCCGCAGACATCTATGATCTAAACACCCCTCCTCCCTCTTTGAATTGGTACAAAATTCTCCTGATGTCTGCAATCACCCCTTCATTTCTTTCCCAGTCTCCTCATGGCACTACTCTGATTTCATTAACTTACCAAAGGTCCCTGGAACTCAGGCCCTTCCTCCACCGACATAGGCATAGGTGTCCCCAGTTTGTGGAACACCACTGAGGTCTTCACAATCTTCCCTTCGAAGTCTGCACAGGCAGTAAGAACTGGTTGTGGATACAAGCGGAGGGAGCTGACACCCGCACCCCTCCCAACCCACCCCTAGGCCAGGAGGCCCTACGTCCTTCCCTTCAGATTTCTTCCCTAGACTAAACGTACAAGTGCTTGCTCTCCCGCTCTAGGGCCCCTCTTCCTAGTCCAACTGATCTTGAGGTCCTCAAACCTCCAGCCCTTTCATGCTGGGCCCTCCGCCCGTTCCACTGTATACAAGCCCCTCACCCCGCACGTTGATGGAGAAGCCACAGCGAGTACAGGTGACTGTATCCTGAGCCCCGGGAAGAGGTAGGACCGAGCCGCAATCCGGACAGAAATCCAAGTCCGACTGAAAGCTGGAGGAGGTGCTGGCGAGGTCCATAAAGGACATGCGGTCGAAGGCTGGGAAGGGAACGAAAAATTTATCATCAAGTGAGAAAGACGAGCCTCCTCCTCAGTCAGGGTGTAATTCCTATATAACCTGAGCCCTCCTCCCACGCACGACTCCTGACTCTGCGACCAAGTAGCCAATACTTCCGGAACTGCCAGCCAGCTTCGGATACTTTACTAGGGATCCTTCCAGAGGCAGGCGAGAGGGCTGAGCCAAGTCTGCGGGCTAGAGCGCCGACCGCGCAAGCGGCAGGGCAGCGAGCCCGCGGCGGGCTAGAGCGTCAACGCCTTCAGGCGTACGATTGGCTGTGACGTCATAATTAATCGCGAACCTCATCCCCGGAGCCTTTGAGAGGGAACGGAATCTAACCGAAGTATGGTGGTACTCTGACGTTGAGCAAGAAAAGTGCTAACCAGTGCTGAGCTCTGGCTACTTTCCTCCCACCGCCCAATCCTGGGGTATTTTGTCTCGCATCCTACAGGGACCCAGTCGGGGGGTGGGGGCGTCCCCCCTGAAGATAGTACTAACTCTACCGTATATGAATACAGTACAGTACTGATTTCTCTGGATTAGTGAACTGGAACTCCTGCGGTTCCTAAACTGGTATTTCCCTTGTGCGGCTGCGCAATCATTAAAAACAAAGCTAAGCATTGTGGGACTCATAGTTCTGGTGTTTCTTGGGACCTGCTGACCGAGCTTGGGTTCTCTGCAGAGCCTCGCGTGCTTTGGGGGCAATGCAGAGCCCTTGGAAGGGGTGAGTCTGCTTCTTAAGGAGCAGGAAATGGAGTGAAGGCACAGGAGAAATGTTTAGTCCCCCGGGACAAAAGGAAGCCGGGATGAAGTGGGACACTTGGGAAGGGGCTGAGGACTTGGGAGGTGGTGGAACAGAAGAGGTTGGGACTCCCTTTAGGGTTCTGCCAAATGAGGGAGGCTTAGCATTAGTCAAGGGAGCCCCTTAGGTAGGGTCTCTTAAGACTTATGTCCAGTTGGCTTTCAGTTGCGGACTGCTTTCTACCCGCTCCCCCGCCTCCCATCTCTCCAACTCTAAATCATTGTCATCCATTAGGTAGACAGCTGACACTTTCCTAATCTTTTATAAAACATGAGGATAAGTAGCTTTAGAAGATCTTGCCGTTGTCATTTATCTATAATCTACAATCTAAGTAGAAACTTGTCCTGGAGGGGCAGCTTCTAGATAAGTTTTCTAGTTCCTTCCCAGCCCTCCCACCACCACCACCGCCCCCCAACCTAATGGCTGTGCTAAGCGCCTTCATATAAAAGTTCTGAGGGCCAGCCCGTGGCTTACTTGGGAGAGTGTGGTGCTGATAACACCAAGGCCAAGGGTTTGGATCCCTATATAGGGATGGCCGGTTAGCTCACTTGGAGACCGTGGTGCTGAGAACACCATGTCAAGGGTTAAGATCCCCTTACCGGTCATCTTAAAAAAAAAAAAAAAGTTCTGGAGCCATCACTGTTTTCTCCTCTGAAAGATACAGGCTATGTTTTTTTCTTGGGAGAAGCTCCCATCTGCCTTTCTCTGTAATAATGGAGAGTCACCAGAGTAAAGGGGTTAAAACTCAGCAAGCTGCTGGAGTGACAAGTCCCATAATTTCACTTAACTGTGAAATTGGCTGTCATTTTGTCTGTCTTAAAAAGGCAGGTCTTTTGCTAAGCCCACGATGGCACGGAGTTTCATTCTCACTTTTCTGTGTGTCTGTCTCTTTCAAAAAATGGAAATTGAAGTTAGCCCTCCATCCTCTTCAGCTTTCCCTTTTTAATTTGACAAACATTCATTGAGCATCCGCCATGAATACTATCCTAATAGTGATGGCTCCAGAACTTTTATATGAAAGATCTTAGCACAGCTATTAGGTTGGGTGGTACTGGTGGGAGGACTGGTAGTGAACTAGGGAACTGCAGATGGTGCAGTAAAGGGACACAGCATTAAAAGGCATGGCCCTTTCCCAACAAGAGCTCACAATCTACTCAATAAGTATTTATTGAGTACCTATACCAGGCTTTGAGCTGAGGCTGAGGAAGCAAAGTTGAAGTCTGTGTTCTTTGACCTCAAAGAGCACAAATGAATAATTAGAATACAGTGAAAGTTTACTAGTAGGTACAGACTGTGAGAGCCCAGGACAGGCATATAAGACAAATATGCCTGTATACTTGAGGAAGATTGGTAAATACCTTAATAAAGACAAATGCAATGTTATGGCAATATAAGAGAGGAAGATACTTAGATATTATCTGATAAGGATAATCAACAAATCATTAATTTTGAGAACTTGAGATCACAGACTCTAATGATAAGTACTGTGCTGGATGCTATGTATAGAGAAATAAAAGTAAGATGGTAATATTTTTTATTCTCAGAATAGGTACATATAGTCAGGCAAATAAGAATGTGCCAAAGAGGTCAGCGAGATTGAATATTTGATATCAGATTCTCTCTGATAATATATACAGATCATTATATTTATAGGTAGAAATTATAGTTCCCACCCTTTATGAGCCTAAATTTCAGCATAAAAATGTTGAAAGTAATATATGAATACAGATATCACAATGTAAGGCATGATTAATTTTCAAATGAGTTGTAGAAATAAAAAATGTTAAGAGTTTAGGGGAAGACAAAGCCAATGTGACATAAACTAGAAAGACTTTACAGAGAGTCAAGGACTTGACCTGTGAGGGATAGATAACTACCATTTATTGAGAACTTAACATATAGCATCAAGCCAAGCTATTTACATCTAATTCATATTTTTTCTTTGTAATCCTGAGAAGCAGATTTTTGTCTTATATCTTCATTTTAATAGATGAAGAAACTGACATAGAGAGAAGTTCAGTTACTTTCCCTGAGTCACACACATAGGAAGTGGTGGAAATAGGATTCAAATCCAGCTGTGTCAGGCTCCAAATCCCATGCTTTTAATTATAAATGGTATAAAAAGCACAGTGATGAAATGCTAGGCATCCTCAGTGGCTTAAATATGACCTCACAGTAAACTCAGATTTGACCAGGGACAACACATAAAAGTTGGTAGTCTCTTTTGTTGACATCAATCTGCCCTATAAATAAGCATAGAGTAACCACAGCTTCCCATCCTGAGGGGCTCAACAGGGAATGGTCTCATAATGGATTCAGGGTTAAGAATGATGTCAGTGTAGGCAAGCAGAGGGGTGGGTGACCAGATAAAAACAGAATTTCAGAACAAAAGATTAGAGGGCAGAGATGCTGTATGTGCTGATAGAGGCAGAGAGGGCCCGGATCAAGAAACAGCAGAAAGAGGATGAACTGATAAACCCGGAGTCTAGAATTAGCTCAGAAAACAGAGGAGGCTGGAGGACTAAGGGATCTGGCATAGATGTATTTGGGCAACACCTCACCAAGGAACCTATCGCTTCCCTCTCCCAACCCCTGATACAAGATTCAGAATGGTTCACGCTGAGTCCACAGGAGAAGTATGCTTTTAGTTCATATGATAGGAAAGATCCTCTTCTTATTAAAAGAGCATTCATGATTCTCCACCATAGGAATGCAGTGATTTCCCATGGGGAAAGTGGCCCCGCTGTAGTCTGCCTATTAGGTTTTCTCTTTGTGACAGAAATACTCTTGGTCTTGGCCAAAGCAATTATGTTCTTTGACTCAGTGTGTGAGCCGGTGTGCTCTGACACCTCCAACATTCTAATCTAACTTCTTTTTATCTTCCAGATTGGCCTGGGCTAAAGCATCTAAAGATCCTAGGATTGCTGCAGGTCAACAGTCCCCAATGGAGAAAAAGATCTTGGTAAATAAATTATCTTCACATCAGACAGTTTGGAACTACTCAGAGAGGGAATCTTAGGTTTAAAATCCTTCTGCCCAAGTGACACCTTCAAGAAGAATGTCTACATTGGCAAATGTTTCCCAACTATATCTACAGTTGTAAAACCAAGTATCATTTTGAAAACTCCCAAACTATATGTTTATAAAACTAGTTGTTGATTTGTGGTGGTGGGTACTTTCAGAGCTCACAGACTCACCTGGGAGTGAGGGAGTAAAATCAATTATTACACTAAAGTAAAATTTAAAAAGTACATATCTTTTCTTGGTGTCAATAGGGAGGGTGGGCTCCAGTGTTCAAAAGAAAAAGATTATTACATTATTACATTACATTATGTTAAAACTCTGAACCTCACTTCGACAGAATCTAGGTGGTGTGCATACAACAGCAGCAAGACAATTGATAAATCAAAAATATCAAGAGGAGTATGAAACACTCTGTAAAGAGCAGGCTCTTTCTCTTGACTACTGGCTTGCCAAAGCAGAGTCTTATTACAATAAAAGAATAGTGGAAATGATGAAAGAAGAGGAGACAGGCAATGAAATCAAGAAGAAAATGGAGGGGAAAACAACCCAAAGCATACAGGGACAAAAACAGTACTATTTGCTACCCAAGAGAGAGATGAAACACATAGAAAGGCACATACATCAAACAGGCCAGGCCAGAGAATTTAAGAACAAAACATTTAGACAGATACTACAACCCCCCACTGAAACAACATTACCGAAAATTAGGCCAGAAGACTATGGCATCCAGAATGCACAGAGAAGAAAGCAGGTAAATGACAGGGAACAGATGCAAATTAAAGATCACCAAGAACGTATGATTCGAGGTAGAGAACTTAAAGAGCAAAAACTCAAGGAAAGAATCTTGAGAAAAAGCCAGTACCAGCCACCTACATATGAGAAGCGTGAAAGCGTAAAGAAAGAGATAAAAGAGTTTGAAAGAGTTATTGCATATCCACTCTTCCAGCCACACAGTAGAAGTCAACTTAAAGTGAATGTTCTTATGGAAAAGTCTCAGAATAGAGAGGAAGCAAATACAATTATAAAACCATATGAAAGGAAATTCTTGGCTGTGCCACCCTTTTTGAGAAGTCAAATAGGAAAAATAAAAGCTTGGTAAAGCTTTTATGATAAAATTGTGTCTCTTAAAGGAATTTTTTTTAAAATGCTAATTCTCATCTCTCCCCAGTCTTCAATGAATATTCCATTTGTATCAGATATAGAAGTATGAAATAGTTCTGGACTTGAAAACTACTTTAGTTTATTTTTAGTTGCCTGGCATGTATTTGAGTTGATTTATCCTCTTTGATATTAAGTTTCCTCATTTATAAAGTGGGAATAATATTTCATAGCATTTATGGGAGGTTCATGATTTTTGTGAAGCGTTAGTATATATTAGTTGTTTCATAAATGTTAGTTTCCACACTTGGGATACCTGGGTTGGGTAATGGGGGTGGATTGGGAATTGTTCTAATCTCCCTCTCCCATTTTCCCTGCTCCTAATCCTCCAAGGTTATTTTGATGAGGTTGCTGTAATTCAGTATATAATCTTTAATTTCCTATTCGTACCTTCATCAGAGAATTGCTAACCAGGCCGGCCCTAAAAGTCTAACTTACACCATACAATTTATCTGTAGCAGAAACTTAATTTTGAGAACCTCTTATGTTCCAGGCATCATGTTAGTTACAAAGAATGAATAAAATGTCTGCCCTTGAGTAGTTTATAACTAATGGCATGGATCACTCTATAAACAGTTAATATAATGTAGTAAGGGTTCTGGTAGAGGTGTACAGGGTACTGTACAAAGGAAGGACACTAACCCAGCCTAGCTGAGCAGGGTGAAAAGGAGGAAGAAGGAGGTCAGAGAAGGGAGTGTAGTAGTCTCATGTTTCTTACAGCTGCACATTTCGTCACGTTCTATCATTCACCTTAAGCAAGACCTTCCCAACATTTGGATCCACTCAGGGGTAATCAAACTTAGCCTTTCTCAAACACATGCCTCCAATATTCATTGATAAATCAGAAAGCAAACTTATGAATTTAGAATTTTAATTGCCATGCAGAATGAAATTTATTGTTTTCAGTCAGTTCATATTCTTCCTAAATACCAGAAAGTTGGGAAAGTAGTTTACATTTGTTGAGTAGAGAAACAGAGAAATGGAAACTGGATGCCCTAAGCAATATTATACTTAAGTTGTTATAATCCCAATGCCTATCTTTCTGCAATATCTGGACCCCTTTTACCCTGGATATTGCTAGATCAATGCTCTCCAGTAGAACTTTCAGCAGTGTTATAGAAACGTTCTATATCTGTGCTCTTCAATACAGTAGCCACTTGCCACATGTGCCTGTTGAAATTCAGCTAAGGAACTGAATTTTTTCTTTTCTTTTTTCTTTCTTTTTTTCTTTTTTTTTTGCAGCTGGCCGGTATGTGGATCCAAACCCTTGATTTTGGTTTTATAATACCATGCTCTAACCATATGAGGTAACTGGCCAGTCTGAATTTTTTTAAATGTTATTTAATTTTAATTAAGTTTAAGTTGCCACATGTGGCAGGTGACTGTCCTATTGTACAACACAGCACTGGATAAACATGACTTTTGTATTTTAAACTCCAGTCCCACCGTCAGCTTTCTGTCCGACAGTGTTTGCTGGTATAATAATCACTGCTCTTACATTATCAGTTTAGGTCCCTTTATATTTCATAGGCTCCCTAATCCTTTAAAAAGATTCAAAAAGCAGTGTTGCTAACTTCTGTGTGGAAATGAGATGGCTGAGTGTCCAAGTGTGAGTGAACAGTATAATGCCCACCAAACTGATAAGGTATCCTGAGACCAAAGAATGAAGCAGGAAACTCCATATGGCTTACAAGGAGTTTAGTTTTATCATTATTATTATCATCATCATTATTGAGCGTGGTTACTTACAGTGATTGGGTGGAGTTGGGGAGGAGAGAGTTGAGGCTTATGAAGGCCTCAGAGACAAAAGTGGAGCTTTACCAAGGACAGAAAGGCTGCAGAAGTGGAAGATTCACAGGCACCTCACATCCTCTTGTTGCTTATCTTTAGGGTTGCTGGCGTCACTCCCCTTGTCTCAAGCATAATGTTCTGTTCCTGTTCCAACCTCAGTTGCTAAAACCATTGTGGTTTTGCTCCTGTAAGTCTGTTCTGTAAAGTCTGACACATATTAGACTCATAATAAATATTTGTTGAAAGAAAGAACGATATTTGTTAACTGCTGGAAACAGAGCTGTGTCTGAGAGAGCCAGGCCCAAAATACAAAAACAGCTATTACGTACTACTATACCTTCCTACCTCCTGTCCATTTAATATCATAGTCAAGCTTTGTTCTTAAATTTTAGTTGAGGTACTAAAATATTTGTTTACTTATCATAATTGTTTTTTAATGTGCTATCAATACATTGAGGATTTGTTTTTCTCTATCTCCTTTCCTAGAACTTTTCTCCACTGTCTTATAGACAAGGCCACTCATGTGCCCTCTCCTCAAGGCAGCTGGCAGCATGGTAGTTTTGTTAAATTCTAAACAAAGGGGTTCCTAGAGAAAGAGACAAGGAGTCCCCTTTTAATACCAGAGAACCAGAACCCCTAGAGGATTAGTGGCTATGTAACTGTTTCTTGTCTGATGAACAGATATCTAAGTTTCTTAGCCCTCACACATTCTGTAACTTATCCCTGATAAGAGTACTGAGTTTGGAAATGGCAGAGTTGGGAACCAAGACAACTCTCCCAATTCTAAATTCAGTTTTGTCCAGTTGTTCAAATGAGATAAGAAATGTTAAAGTGTTTTATAGCCATAAAATGCCACACAATATCATGAGTTGTTATTGTCCTTCCACTGGATCAGAAAATGCCATGAAAGGCTGGCCGGTTGTTCAGTCAGTTAGAGCATAGTGTTATACCCAAGATTGAGATCAAGGGTTTGGGTCCCCATATAGGCCAGTTGCTAAAAAAACAAACAAACAAACAAAAACAATAATTAGCTCCACCACAATCTAAAGTACAGATGATCGAGAAGCTACCAAGTTACTTGTGTGCAAAAACAATAGTTGCAAAGGGTTAGGATTTCCCATTTGAATATGCTTTTACAAATAGAAGTTCTGTCCAAAATTAAAGGCCTAACCAACTATCGAATGGAATAGTAAATTTTTCTTTAAAAAAGATTAAGAAAATCAGGAAACTGTTATTGGAGGAGCACACCCTGCTGATACCACTTCTCTCAGAAAGTTTTCCCATGTGAATGTAGCAGAAATTCCAGGAGGTAGGTATAAATAAAAAAATACAGATCTGAGGGAAGGTGTTTCCTTCCTAAGGCCTGTTTTTTCTGTGAAGCAGGAGACAAAATCATCTTTTTAGAGATGGAGGAAAAACAGGTCTTGGGTAAAACGTAGGCTCCAAATGTACTAGGGACTCTGGAATTTCTTATAACTGACTCAGGCCAGAGAAACCTTGCCGTTAAAAATGTTGAAAAGTTTGGGGAGAGTTGAAATGCAGTGTGGTCATGACCAAAGTGTCTTCTTTCAAGCCTTAGAAACTTGCTTTGGCTAGTGTAAAGAAAAAGGGAAGGGCTGGCCCGTGGCTTACTTGGGAGAGTGTGGTGCTGATAACACCAAGTCAAGGGTTAAGATCCCCTTACTGGTCATCTTTAAAAAAAAAAAGGTGGTGGAGGGAATCAGTAGAAAGTATTTTGAAATATCTTGAATAACTGGGCCTCACAGAAGATTGCGACCCAGGCAATAAGTACTCCTGGGTACTTACCAACTCTTGTCTCCACATCTTTCTTTGTATCTGCTTGTTCTCTTTTTCTTCTCACTGCCTTTTTTGTTGTTGTTGTTGTTCTTACAGTGGAAGATAAGCTGCCTCTCTCACTTTCTCAATCTTGTACTATCAGGTATCCTTTCTCTTTCTCTATATCCAACTGCTTGCTTTCAGCTGGATCATTCCTACTGACTTATAAATATGCCCAAATCTCTCCCATCTAAATTATCATGTTATTTCTTTGCACTCCTTCAAAGCCAAATCTCTTAGAAAGACTATAACATCTGCCTTCATTATGGCTTCTGTACCCATCAATCCACCAAATCCTTATTGCTGAGTCATCAAAGGGCACCATGCTGCTAAATCCAATGGACAATTAAAGGTGAAAATGGAAAAAGTAGAAGGTGACAACAACAGGCAGAACACCGGACAGGTATTTGGCAGCAAAGGCAGCATGGATGAGGAATCAACAATCTAAGGGGAGAAATCTAGTCCATAGAAAACAAGGGGCAAGGTAGATCCATGGTCCTGAGGAATTGGGGATCAGGCAGAGAAAAAATAGAGCCCATTTAAGAAACTGGCTGGATACCAAAGGAACAAAATTCATGCCCAGTTATTGGACTCGGGATGAAAGAGAAGAACAGGAATAGAAATGCCAACAAAACTGGGGGGTAGAACTACTGAACTGGATTCCACTAGAAATGGGACCACTCTCAGTCCTAAGTGGAGCTAAACCAACAGGTGAGGGTTAAGAAAGCCCACATTAGAAACAGGTGAGATGATCAGGTTACAGAGGTTGAAGACAAAGCAGATAATTACCATAACCCTCACTGTGAATTAGGTATATGAGAAGACTTTGAACGTATTAAAGCATGTCTGATAATATCTTTAACAATGAAAGCTGAAGTACTTGAAATTGAGCCTCAGGATATAAGGTGTATAAGATTGGTGCATTATTTTAAGTAGATCTCATTTTATTTTTTTAAATTGACAAAAAAATTGTATATATTGTGTACATGATGTTTTGATATATGTGTACATTGTGGAATGATTAAATAAAGCTAATTAACGTATTCATCCTTTCACATTGTTATTTTTTGTGATGAGAACATTTAAAATCTACTCTCTGAAGAAAAAAGAAAAAAAAAGATAATAAAAGAACAACAAAAAGAGGAGAAAAAACATCTACTCTCAGCAATTGTCAAGTGTACAGTATATTATTCTTACCTATGGTCATCATGCTATACAATAGATCTCCAAAATTTATTCCTTCTGACTGAAACCTTGTACACTTTAAGCAACATTTCCCCATTCCCGTTCCTCCTTCCCCACCCTGGCCAGCAC